CACACACTGCACACCCATCGCACCCCACCCGGCACACCCGGCGCGCCCGGCACAACCGGAACCAGCAGAGAGCAGTGGAGACGAACAAAAAACAACCGAGAGCAGCAGAGAGCAGGAAAGGGGAGCGGACAACAACAGAGAACAGCAGAGAGCAGCAGGAAAGAGCAGCAAAGAGCAGCAAAGAGCAGCTGAGACCAGCAGAGGGCAGCGGAGGGCAGCAGACACGAGCAAACACCAGCAGAGAGCAGCGGAAAGTGGCAAAGACCAGCATAAAGCAGCTGAGAGCAGGAAAGGGCAGCAGACACCAGCAGACACCAGCAGGGAGCAGCAGAGAGCGGGAAAGAGCAGCAGACACCAACAGAGAGCATCGGATAGTGGCAGAGAGCAGCCGAGAGACGCAGCAGAGACCATCGGAGAAGCAGGGACCAGCCGAGACCAGCAGAGAGCAGCAGAGACGAACAAAAAGCAGCCGAGGGAAGCAGAGTCTGGCCGATACCAGCAAAGTGCCACAGACAGCAGCCGAGAGCAGCAGACAGCAGCCGAGAGCAGCAGACACCAGCAGGGAGCAGCAGAGAGCAGGAAAGAGCAGCAGACAAGAGCAGAGAACAACAGAGACCAGCAGAGAGCAGCAGAGAGCAGGAAAGAGCAGCAGACATCAGCAGACACCAGCAGAGAGCAGCAGAGACCAGCAGAGAGCAGCAGAGAGCAGGAAAGAGCAGCAGACAGCAGCAGAGAGCAGTGAATAGTGGCAGAGAGCAGCGACATCGTGTCTTTTGTGGCAAATACCAGCAAGGACGAGCAAAGACCAGCAGAGATCAGCAGAGACCAGAGACCAGCTGATACCAACAGCAGCAGGAGCAGCAGAGACCAGCAGAGACCAGCAGACACCAGCAGCGACATGCAGAGTCTGCAGAGAGCAGAGACAAGCAGAGACCAGCAGACAGCAGCAGCGACCCGAAGAGACCAACAGCGACCAGCAAAGACCAGCAAAGACCAGCAAAGACCAGCAGAGATCAGCAGAGACCAGCAGAGACCAGCTGATACCAACAGCAGCAGGAGCGGCAGAGAGCAGCAGAGACCAGCAGACACCAGCAGACACCAGCAGCGACATGCAGAGTCTGCAGAGAGCAGAGACAAGCATAGACCAGCAGACAGCAGCAGCGACCCGAAGAGACCAACAGCGACTGGCAGGGGGCAGCAGAGAGAAGCAGAGTCTGGCCGATACCAGCAAAGTGCCACAGACAGCAGCAGGAGCAGCAGACAGCAGCCGAGAGCAGCAGACACCAGCAGGGAGCAGCAGAGAGCAGGAAAGAGCAGCAGACAACAGTGGAGAACAGCAGAGAGCAGGAAAGAGCAGCAGACATCAGCAGACACCAGCAGACACCAGCAGAGAACAGAGACCAGCAGAGAGCAGCAGAGAGCAGCAGAGAGCAGCAGAGAGCAGCAGAGAGCAGCAGAGAGCAGGAAAGAGCAGCAGACAGCAGCAGAGAGCAGCGGATAGTGGCAGAGAGCAGCGGCATCGTGTTTATGTTGGCAAAGACCAGCAAAGACCAGCAAAGACCAGCAGAGAACAGCAGGGACCAGCAGAGAGCAGCAGAGAGCAGGAAAGAACAGCAGACATCAGCAGACACCAGCCGAGAGCAGCAGACACCAGCAGGGAGCAGCAGAGAGCAGGAAAGAGCAGCAGACAACAGGAGAGAACAGCAGAGAGCAGCAGAGAGCAGGAAAGAGCAGCAGAGCAGCAGAGAGAGAGCAGCAGACACCAGCACCAGCCGAGAGCAGCAGACAGCAGCCGAGAGCAGCAGACACCAGCAGGGAGCAGCAGAGAGCAGGAAAGAGCAGCAGACAACAGCAGAGAACAGCAGAGACCAGCAGAGAGCAGCAGAGAGCAGGAAAGAGCAGCAGACATCAGCAGACACCAGCAGAGAGCAGCAGAGACCAGCAGAGAGCAGCAGAGAGCAGGAAAGAGCAGCAGACAGCAGCAGAGAGCAGCGAATAGTGGCAAAGAGCAGCGACATCGTGTCTTTTGTGGCAAAGACCAGCAAAGACCAGCAAAGACCAGCAGGGATCAGCAGAGACCAGAGACCAGCTGATACCAACAGCAGCAGGAGCAGCAGAGACCAGCAGAGACCAGCAGACACCAGCAGCGACATGCAGAGTCTGCAGAGAGCAGAGACAAGCAGAGACCAGCAGACAGCAGCAGCGACCCGAAGAGACCAACAGCGACCAGCAAAGACCAGCAAAGACCAGCAAAGACCAGCAGAGATCAGCAGAGACCAGCAGAGACCAGCTGATACCAACAGCAGCAGGAGCAGCAGAGACCAGCAGAGACAGCAGAGACCAGCAGACACCAGCAGCGACATGCAGAGTCTGCAGAGAGCAGAGACAAGCAGAGACCAGCAGACAGCAGCAGCGACCCGAAGAGACCAACAGCGACCGGCAGGGGTCAGCAGAGAGAAGCAGAGTCCGGCCGATACCAGCAAAGTGCCACAGACAGCAGCCGAGAGCAGCAGACAGCAGCCGAGAGCAGCAGACACCAGCAGGGAGCAGCAGAGAGCAGGAAAGAGCAGCAGACAACAGTGGAGAACAGCAGAGAGCAGGAAAGAGCAGCAGACATCAGCAGACACCAGCAGAGAGCAGCAGAGACCAGCAGAGAGCAGCAGAGAGCAGCAGAGAGCAGGAAAGAGCAACAGACAGCAGCAGAGAGCAGCGGATAGTGGCAGAGAGCAGCGGCATCGTGTTTATGTTGGCAAAGACCAGCAAAGACCAGCAGAGAACAGCAGGGACCAGCAGAGAGCAGCAGAGAGCAGGAAAGAACAGCAGACATCAGCAGACACCAGCCGAGAGCAGCAGACGCCAGCAGGGAGCAGCAGAGCAGGAAAGAGCAGCAGACAACAGGAGAGAACAGCAGAGAGCAGCAGAGAGCAGGAAAGAACAGCAGACACCCGCAGACACCAGCAGAGAGAAGCAGAGAGCAGGAAAGAGCAGCAGACACCAGCAGAGAGCAGCGGATAGTGGCAGAGAGCAGCGATATCGTTTTTTGGGGCTCGCAATAAGCATTGCGGCATGTGCCGACTGATTCAAGCAACCGCCCTTTCAGCGAACCCCGCCTTTACACATCATTTTGTTACTCGGTTTCTCCTGAGGGCAACGCGAATCAGTAGAGAAACGTTTGAGACACCGACGGTTGGCCTGCGCGGGTGACACTCGTCGCCACGGCTGGGCGCAGCGCGAAATATTGGTGCCCCTCTGCCCTTGGAGGGGTCCAGGGACTGATTTGGAACCGATTTGGCAGCATCGGTGTCTCATTTATCTGCTTCAACACTAGATCCCACATGTGCCGCAGGATTCCGTCGAACGTCCCTTCAGCCAGCCAGGCTTTCCCACAGCATCTGGTTACTCAGCGTCTTCTGAGAGCAAAGCAGATCAGCCGAGAAATGTTTGAGACACCGACGGTTGGCCTGCGCGGGTGGCTCTCGTCGCCACGGCTAGGCGCAGCGCGAAAAATTGTCCTTCTCAACCCCTGGAGAGGTCCAGGGACGGACTTGGAACCGATTTGGCAGCATCGCGTCTCCACTATCTGCTGCAGTGCTAGATCCCGCGCGTGCCGCAGGATTCTGGCAAGCGTGTTTTTCAGCCAACCAGGCCTTCCCACAGCATCTCGTCTCTCAGCGCCACGCTGAAGGCACAGCAGCAGTTCAGCAGAGAAACGTTTGAGACACCGACGGTTGGCCTGCGCGGGTGACTCTCGTCGCCACGGTTGGGCGCAGCGCGAAAACATCGGCCTTCTCAGCCCCTGGAAAAAAAAGGGGCCCACGGACTGACTCGGAACCGATTTTGCAACATCGGTGTCTCAATTCTCTGCTTCAGTACTAGATGCCACGTGTGCCGCGGGATTTTGGCAAACGCGCCTTCAGCCAACCAGGCCCCGCCACAGCATTTGGTTACCCAGCGCCGTGCTGACGGCGCAGCAGCAGATCAGCCGAGAAACGTTTGAGACACCGACGGTTGGCCTGCGCGGGTGACACTCGTCGCCACGGCTGGGCGCAGCGCGAAAAACAAGTGCTTTTTCTTTATATATATATATATATATATATATATATATATATATCTTTTTCTCCTCACCCCCTGGATGGGGTCCACGGACAGACTTGGAACCGATTTGGCAGCATCGGTGTCTCCATTGTCTGCTTCGGTGCTAGATCCCACATGCGCCGCAGGATTCTGGCAAACGTGCCTTTCAGCCAACCAGGCCTTCCCGCGGCATCTCGTTACTCAGCTTCTCGTTCCCTCGTCGTCCTCCTCGTCCTCGCCCTTCCTAATTATCAAAAAACCCACCTCGGCCCTCTTCCTCTGTCCCCTGGCACTCGCGTCAGCCGTTCTTGTTGTCAGCGCTGCTCGACTCAGGCTGCCGCTCGCCTCAGCCGCTCCTCGCTCGCCTCAGCCGCCGCGCGCCGCCATGGCTGAGACGGTCAAGCAGCAGTGCAAGTGGGCCGAAGAGCGTTTTCGCGAAGGCGCCAAAAAAAGCGACGCGGCGAGGATCCTGCGGGGCCAATTCGACGACCTCTACTCGGCCAACGACGCGCTCGGGATCGAGGCGTTTTTGATAAAGTATGGCATAACCAAGGGCACCAGGCTCCAGAAGAGCGACTGGGATGCCATGACCTCCGAAGACATTGCGCCCCAGGAGGCGGCAGCGGTGACATTTGCCAACGGACAGGAGGACAGCGAGGGGCGCAGCCGATAATGAAAGGCATGGCGCGCCGATGGGTTCCTCTGGGTCATTCTTCGGCGCGTGCACACTGGGGCGCATACGTGCGCATCCTGTGGGTTGCGTTCCGGCGTGTGTCCATTGGGACGCATTCGCGCGTCTCCTCTGGCTCGTGCTGCGACCGGCGTCCAGCGGGGTGCATTCGTGCGATTCTTGTGGGTGGGGCGTCGGTGCGCGCCCGTCGGCCTGCCTTGTCTTTCTCTCGCATCGGCTGCGGCCCCTCGTGAAGGAGGCGGCTTGGCGGCGCCAAAAATATTTTGAGCTCCAGAAAGAGCTGGACAAGAAGGAAGCCCAGTGGAGGGCCGAGGACAAAGACGCCGCTGTGTCCGAAGCGGTGATGCAGAAAGAGTTAGATATGAAAACTACTCTCCTTGAGGAGGCAAAAGCCAAGCTCCAGGAGCTCCAGGATCTCCAGGTGAGGTGGGACGCCGCCGTCGGTCGGCGGGATTCTAGCGTGGCGGCCCTCCACGCCGCCATCGAGGAACACGAGCGGGAGGCGCGCGAAGCCGCCGAGGCGAGGAAAGAATTCTTGGAGAAGAAGCGGAAGGAGCGGGAGGAGTGGAACCAGGGGTGGAGGAACAATAGGCAGAAGAAGTGAGTCGCCCAGGGGTGGCCCCGACGGCATATGGCCCAGCGCCGCTGTCCAGCCGCGCGGCCTCGGCGGGGAGATCCCCATCCTTCCCTCTCTCCCTCCGTCTCTCTCTGTCTCCCTCTCTCCTCTTTCCCTGCCGCGTCGTCATTCCTCGTTCTCCGCTGCCGCCGCGGGCGGGCGCAGCGGCCGGCCGGGGCCGGCAAAACCGCCGGTGCTCGGATTTGCGCCCCGTGCGCCTGCAGATCCCCTCCTTCCTTCCTTCCCGCCGTCTCTCTCCCTGTCTCCTGTCTCCCTGCCGTCTCGTCGCCCGCCCCTCGTTTTTGCGATTGCCGCCGCGGGCGAGCGCGGCGGCCGGCTGCGGCCGGCGAAACCGCCAGCGCTCGGATGCGCGCCCTGCGCCTGCGAGAGAGAGAGAGAGGAGATCCCCTCCTTCCTTCCTTCCGTCCGTCCGTCCGTCCTTTCCTTCCTTCCTTCCTCTCTCTTCTTTTTTTGGCCCCTCAGGGAAATCGACTTTACGGTTCCCGTCGTCGTCGTCGTCGTCGCCTTGGTCGCCGCCGCCGTCGCCGTCGTCGCCGCCGTCGTTCATCGCGTCCAGGATCAAAGTTTTTGCTGGTTTCGGCCCCCCCGGGGCTTCAGGGGCCGCCCAGAAGCTCCCAGGGCCCTGCGAGGATGTCCGAGGGCCTCCCGCATGTTTCGGTAGTGTTTGAAGAATTTGTTCTTGGTGAGCGAAGGGCGGTGTCCTCTTCCGTCGTCGCCCTGCTCTTGTCCTTCGCATTCCTCGTCCGAGTCTCGGACGCCCAGCGAGCCGAGTCGGGTCGGCCCGGGGAAGAGAGGAAGGGGGAGGAGGAGGGAGGGAGGAGAAGGAGGAGGAGAAAAGGAGGAGGAGGTGAGGGGGAGGGGGACGAGGAGGAGGAGGAGGAGGAGGGGGAGGAGGAGGAGGAGGAGGAAGAGGGGGAGGAGGAGGACGACGAAAAGGCGGAGGGACAGGGGGAAAACGCTCCCGGTTTGGCCGGCCCTCCCGCCTGCCTGGATCGGCTGGCGAAGGGGAGAAATGGCGGACGAAGAGGAGGAGGAGGAGGAGGGGGAGGAGGAGGAGGAGGAGGAGGAGGAGCGTTTCGCGTTGGACACCCTCGGAATGGAGGCCAGGGAAGCCTTGAATAGAAGTGAGCTGGCCCGTTTTCTCCGCGTTCAAAGATGCGGTTCTCGAAGTGCTCGGGCCGGTTTCGCTTGAAACGTCCTCGGAGGTGAAGGCTCCGAAATGCATTGGTTTGAGATGCGCCTGCCCGTTTCGCTTGGGACATTCGCGCATGTCGTCTCCCAAGTGCGGTTCTCGAAGTGGCATGGCCCTCCGCGCGCGAGACATCCTCGGAATTCCTGGCTTCGCTATGGAAGCCACTTTCGCCTGAAACATACGCTTACGGTCACGATGGCCCCGGCGCCAACGCCCGCGCCAGCACCGTCGCCAGCTCCGACGCCAGCACACACGCTAGCGCCAACGCTGCCGCCAGCGCCCACACCAGCACCGACGCGCGCGCCTACGCCAGCACCGACGCCAATTCTGACAGACATTTGCGCAAATCTGGGTTCCGAGATTCCCTGGGCTCAGGTGGTCAGGCCACTTTGGGTTGAGACATCCTTGCAACTCTGGGCTCCGAGATTCCCTGGGCTCAGATGGTCAGGCCACTTTCGCCTGAGACATCCTCGCAACTCTGACGTCGGAGATGCGCTGCCCCATGGTGGTCCAGCCACTATCGCATGACACATCCTCGCAACTGGGGCTTTGGGACGTGTGGAGCTCGGGTGGTATCCTCCCTTCTCCGCGCTGCGTTGTTGGGGGGAATATTTTCGCCTGAGACATCCTCGCAACTCTGGGCCCCGAGATGTGTTGAGTTCGGGTGGTCAGGCCACTTTCGCCTGAGAGATCCTCGCAACCCGACCTCGGAGATGCGCGGCCTCATGGTGGTCCAGCCACTTCCGCGTGAGACATCCTCGCAACTCTGGGTTCCGATATGCCCTGAGCTCTGGTGGTCAGGCCATTTTTTCTGGGACATCCTCGCAACTCTGACCTCTTATCTGGCCTCCTCCCCGTGTGCCCCTCCCTTCCTCTCCGAATCTTCGCCTCTGCGGCATGTGCGGGCATGTGTGTTTATAGTTTCGGAGTTTGTCCAGGCTGTGCATCCGACTGTGCGTCGGACTGTGTGGCATGTGCGCGCATGTGCGGTCATGTTGTTGAGGCTCTTGCAGTGTTGCATTGGCATGCGCATGCGACTGCGCCGCATGTGCGCGCATGTGCGGCCCCTTCCGGGGTTCAAAACGAATGCGATCACCATAGAAGTGAACACGATTGAAGTGAGCCCGGTGACGGCGGCGAAACGTTGGACATCCTCGGAATTGAGGCCAGGGAAGCCTTGAATTGAAGTGAGCTGGCCCGTTTTCTCTGCGTTCAAAGATGCGGTACTCGAAGTGTTCGGGCCGGTTTCGCTTGAAACTTTTATGGAGGTGAAGGCTCCGAAATACCTTGGTTTGAGATGCGCTTGCCCGTTTCGCTTGGGACATCCGCGCATGTCGTTCAGGAGCTGGCCGGGGGGTCGTTCAGGAGTCTTGGGGCAGCTTCTGCCGTTGGAGCGCTTCTTCCTTGGCCCCTTGGTCTCTTCAGTGGGTCTCTCCGTGGTCCGTTCTTGGTCCCTCCGTGGTTCTGTTTTGCTCCCCTCTCGGCCCCTTCTTGGCCCTGTCATGGCCCCTCCCTCCGTGGTCTCTCGAATGTCCCTCCTTGGTCCCTCGGTGGTCCCTTCGTGGTCCTTCTTGGTCCCTCCCTGTGGTCCTTTGCGTGGTCCCTCCGTGTTCCCTCCGTGATCTTTCCGTTGTCCTTTCTTGGTCCTTGCGTGGTCCTTTCGTGGTACTTCCCTGTGGTCCCTCGCGGGCTCCAACGACGAGCGATGGTGATGACCACGACGACATCCAGAAAATTGTGGAGACCCCAGCAGGAGGCCCCAGACCACTTCGGGGCCACCAGGCGACGATGAATATGGTCTTGGAGCTTATGACGAGCACGTTGGTAGCCATCTTGGATGAACGTGCTGAAAGTGGGTCCACATTGAAGGCTCCGTAGGGCAATGCGGAGTCCAACGAGGGTAGGCGGAATCACATCGGGGCCGTTTTCGGAGATTTTGGACACCCCAGCCTTTTCAGGAACCACCGGCAGGTTCTTGAGGAGGGTGCCAGGGGAGAAATTAACGGTAAATCAGTCTCCCACTTGGACGGACGAAGGATTGGAAGAGCTGATCCCCAAAGCCACCCACGGCCAATCGGAAAGCCACGCTCTTGGTCAGGAGTCCTGCCCTTGGCCAGCCCGTCCGTCGCCCTTCCAGCAACAACGAACTCCAGACTTCTCGACCCCGTAGCTAGCATCCACTTCGCGCCGTTGATCGTTTTTGGTTTTTGCGCGAGCCTTGTCAAACGCAACCGGCATCCAATGTCTTCTGCAATCTCTGCCAACAGTTGGGGGGATGCCCCAGTCGCCTAGGCATCTTGATTACAGCCCCCCTCTGGCGCACTGATGTGATGCACTTCGTGGGCCCGTCGCCGTTTTGGCTCCGACAGCGCGCCCCCAATGGTGTCGCCGTAACAGTGACCCGTCGGAGACCACCTCAAGAACGCTAGCTAGCGCTCGGTTTCCCGAGCCCAGACGAACCAGTGCGCATGGCGGCAGAACGTTTGCACAGCGCTCTCAAAGATTTGGGGGTGCCGGACATCGCTGCCGCGGGGTTGCTCCAACAAGCACAGCGCATTGCTGGCGGGAGCTGTGGTGCCCTGTCCCATCCGAACCGGAGCTGCCCACACTGTAAAGGGCCCATGCGCCCGCAGGAGCGGGAGGCTGTGACAGCAAGTGTGCTTAGTGTAGGTGGATGGGAATCGCGGCGCCACGTGCCGTTGAGATGCGAGAGGCGCGGGTGCGCGCGAAAGCGCGTGTGGTATAATTACATTTCAGAGTCTACGAACAACCATGCGTGGCATTGGAGTGGGCACGATCGGCTGGAATATTTTTTCCTTGCCAACACCTGGGGCGTGTCTGCCCAGTGGCTGCGGCAATTCACGCAACGCTTAGCCTTCCAGCGCGCGTCTTTTGACAGCGAGGCCAAGGTTTACGGGGAGGCAGCTCGTCGAGCAGGGCTCGCAGAGGTGGTCCCGTTCAGAGCAGATTTGAAGTTGCAGAGGGCCTGGATCGCGCGGCGCGTTATGGCCCGTATGTTCGAGCACGGGAACGGCCCGGGGGAGCTGAATTTGTTGAAGACGTCGCCGGACTTGATAAAAACCATTTGGTCATGGTACCCAGAGCACATGTTCAGCCGACGAGTGCAGGGGCTCACGGACAGCGGGCGCTCCATCAACACGATCGTCATAGATGGGAATGCGAAACTGGCCCGCCGGATCTGCGGGCGAGCTGTTGCCGAACTGATGTACTCCCCCTCCTTGGAGAGGTACACTGCCACGCAGTGCTCTTGCAAACCGAGATTCAAGCTGAAGCGTTGCAGCAAGCACTTGGCTCGCGCCCTGACTGAGGATGACGGCCCGCCGCAAAGTGAAATCACTGTTTCGCACAAGCGCCGGCGCGTGCTGGAGACGGCCCCCAGGGCTGAACCGCACGACGTGTGCCTCGTGGCGCGGGACCAGAAAGATATCCCAGGAGCGCCGAGGCGCTGGGCCGCCGCGTGCCAGGTCACCCAGGGCCAACTGCAAGAGTACTGGGGCAATGCTGGGCACCAGGCGTACATCCCGTCGATGTCACCCGACGCGGATTTGCAGTCCGCGTCGTGCAGGACCCACAAAGAGGCGCAACTGGGCAGGGCCAGCCGCGGTTCGACCCCGAGCCAGTTCAGCAGAAAATGCGGCTGGCTTTACGCCTGCACTCCAGAAGGCTACATCGTGCATCTGAAGGAGTACGTGGGCGCAGAGAGTCTGCAGAGACGACGTTGTCCGCCACGACGATGCTTGCCATTTGCGGCGGTACGCTTCGAAGCGCGAGGGCGACGGCGCCTTCGCGCGCAGGCTCGCGTACCCCAACATCAAGTACATCACCGACGGACTGCGCGACAGAAACCACGTGGACCCCTGGTGCCTAGCAAATTGTTCACCTAAGGCAGACTGCAACAAGGAGCTCGTGAAGAACATCAATAGCCAGATCTGCGAGCAGCTGTTCTCGTCTCTGGGGCGCCACAAATATTCTGTACGCCGCATGGGGCAGTTTACCTCGGCCTTCTTGCTAACGGAACTGGCCGAAGTGAAAAATGAGGCCTGGCTGGCCGAGCAGGCGCGCGCGGCCCGCGCGGCCGCGAGTGCGGGGCAGCCGCGGAGCGAGTGAGCGAGGCCGCCCGGGCCCGCGCGCCGATTGCCAGCTGCTTAGGCACCGCGCCCGCCATGTCCGGAGCGTTGCACGGTTGGGCCAGGTGCATGCATACGTTGCACAGAGAGAATGGAGAACGGTGTGGGCGGGAAGGAAAATGACCAGGCGCGGTCGGGGCAGCCGAGGGGAATGACAATTGCCCGAGCAGAACCCGCGCGAGCGCACTCCTAGGGGCCCACCACCTGGTCCTCGCAGACAGTTGGCTCGAGTGGGATACCGACTGGGCCCCGACGCGCGGCGGGGGGGCGATGCAGCAGCTCCGAGATGAGATGCGCGCCGTGTGGGACATCGTCGACAAGGAGTACGACTCCAGGGTCGACTTGGGCCACAAGGCATCGCAAGCGATTCTCACTCTAGCCACCCGGGCGTCACATCACGAGTTCCCGTTCGGAATGGGAATCCTCGCCCACCTGTGTGCTTGCACCAACGGTGCACTGACCAACATATTCCCTGGTGACCCAAGCCCGGTAGTCTTGCCGGTCGTCAACATCAATTACCCGCAGACTCGGAAGAGCTCCACGCACCGGGCGGACCTCGTCGTGGGGCGCGCAATTGACGACCACGTGCTGGCGACTGCGAGCGCCTTGGCCACGGGGGGCAGGCCCTGGCGCGGAGCTCAGATTCGCCGGCCGATCGAGCACCTGAGCGAGTCAGCGGCGGATCGGATCGCGGGAGCGACCGGGTCGGGCCAACCGCCAGGGGGGATCGACCGGCTCGGCGCGGGAAATGCGATCGTTCAGTCCGATCGCGCGGGGATCCCAGACCCCCGACGTAATGATTTTTTCATTACGTCGACCCCCAGAGGTCCCGACCCTTCCCCCATGACCGGCTTCGCATCCTGAGCCGTTTTTTGACGCTCCCGAGGCCCGGTGAGGGCCCCCGGAGGCCGAAAATTTGGAAAAAACCTCCCGTCATGATTTTTTCATGACTCGAGGGGGTCTGGGATCTCGGAATGGCGCCTGCGAAGCGACAACGTCGGGGCGTGCGGGAGGGCGGGGTTTGCCCCTCCGGTGAAAGTGGAATCGTCCATGCTCACGAGTTTCACGGAGGCGGCGTTCTTCTTGCGATGCGCCGGGGACTGGGGCCAAGTGGCCCCGAGCGAGTCGCACGACTTGTCGGGGCGCGTGTACTACGGGACATTGATCAACCTAGACGAGGCGCACCGCTTCCTCAAGATGGTCGGCCTCATCCCCGCGCAGAACACAAAGGGCGGGCAGCGTGCGAATGGTGGGGCTGCCGGCCTTGCCCCCTGCTTGGAGACTGATGAAGGGGCCCGGGCGACGACCGCCCCCTCCGTTGTCGCGGGGTGTCGGGGGAGATGGGCCCACCAGACTGACCTGGCAGGGCGAGGCCGGCCCCCTGCGCATTCGCGCGCGCCGGAGCAGGCGGCGACGCCGGGGGCACGCCGGCCGACGCGGCATCGGAGTTCAATAAGTTGATGCAAACAGGCCACACGGCAATGACTACAAAGACAGCGGGTGCGCTCGGTCAAGGAAGCGCCCCAACGGTCTCGATTGGCATCAGTGGCAATGGGCACCTTTCCGTCGTTGTGCCGATGCTGCGAGGCTCCCTCGGCACTGACGCAGTGGCCACGTCGTACCGCTTGCTGTTCGCGTCGGGTCGCCCTGTGGAGCCTCACTCGCCGCCCCCGTGCAGCTCGAGGTCCCGCAGGGGTTCAAACGTTGGCAGTGGCCGAAGCTATTGGAATGCATGGTATCTCCGCTGGGCCTGCCGAGCGAGGCGACCAACCGCGTGCTTGCTCGGGGCGCGTTCCGCCCGGCGCCCGCGCACGAGACCCAGGCGACCCAAGAGGAGTCTGACGCAGAGGATGCACCGGCTTAGTTACAGAAAGCGGGGGGCCTGAGATGTAGCACACCTCACCCAGTGGCCTGCTCTACTTCTACCCGGGCCTGCCTGGCCCCACCCGAGGCTCGCCCCAAAGCCCTAACCCTACTTACGTAAAGCCCCTGCCTAAGCTCACCCAGAGAGCACTTGGGCCAACCTTCCAGCGTTCCCCAAGACCCATGCCCAAGGCCTGCCCTGGACTTGCCCCGGGGACCTTGAGTAAACTAGCCCAGGCGACCCTGAGTTTGTCCATGACCACCCTGGAGCATGTAGTCCCTTCGACTACCATAAGTCTTTGGTGAAGCGACAGGCGGGCCCCCCCCTCGGGCTCCGTGCCTGCCCAGGAAGACCACGTCACGTTCGAGCCAGGCCCCCGTGGATACTCCTTGCGTCTCGTGGACGGCACGATCACGAGGCCCCGCTTCAGGAACCGCGGCGGCGTGTTCGAGCCGGAGCTGCGCGCGACGAACCGCGACATCCCCGTGACGCAGGGCATGGACGTGAAGAGCATGGCCAACCGCGTGCTCGAACACTTCAAGGTGAGCCACACGGTAGTGCGGTCAGAGGAGGCCCGGTTGACCTTCAAGGGCTTCCAGATGGTGTTCGACGTGCAGTGCGCGCTCATGCGGGATCAGGGCAATGAGACTCGCGCGGCCTTGTTGGGATCTAGCCCTTGGATGCTCGGCATGATCTCGGTGGCGCTGCTCATTCTGGAGATCGCGGTTGGCGAGGCGCCGATGGGTGGAGAGGCCAAGGTGATGGAGCATCACGTCGTCCGGGCGTGGGACATCCTAGAGGTCTTGGGGCCCTGGGAATCAGCACCGCGCAAATTGGGGCATTGGCGGACCCATCCAGGGGGGGGGGACTTGGAGATATCCTGGCCCGTGGTTCCAGCATGCAGTCGGCTGCGCGGGCTCCCCCCAGGTGTTTTGTTGGTTGTTTTCATTAGTTTTGTTGCGGGGCTCTCGAGGTCTTCCACAGCGTTCGCATCACCCTTGAGGAAGGGCGCGAGAGCCAGGAGGTGGGGGAGGAGAGAGAGAGGGCCGCGCGGGACGCCGCCAGCCGCAGGGCTGCCGGCGCAGTCCGAGTCGGCGCGGTCGGCGACGAGTGGGGCCAGTGGGCCTTGACCCAGGCTCAGCCGCGGCGCGCCCTCCCAGGCCGACCGAGGAATCAAGCCAAAATTGTTCCCTACCTAGGCTCTGTCTAGAAGGGTTCTTACTCTCTGTGCTGAAAGGGCCGAGCAGTGGGGCTCGCTCCGGGCGGTTCCCCCGGCATCCGCCCCACGGTTCCCCAAGTTGCGCCCCCTGGGTTCACCCAGCTTAGCTGAGCTAAGCGTAGCCCAGCTTAGCTTATCTCATTTTAGCTTAGCTTAACTTAGCTTAGCTTAGCTTTGCACAGCCTAGCTTAGCTTGGCGTAGCCTAGCTTAGCTTAGCTTATTTCATCATAGCTTTTAGCTTAGCTTAGTTCAGCTTGGCTTGGCTTGCCTTAGCTTAGCCTAGCCCAGCTTAGCTTAGCTTAGCATAGCTCAGCTTACCTTCGCTTAGCGCAGCATCGCGCAGCGCAGCATTAGCACAGCATAACATAGCATAGCCAAGCATAGCCAAGCACAGCATAGCATAGCGCATCATGCCATAGCACAGCATAGCATATAATAGCGCAGTATATCAGTATACTGTACCATAGCATAGCATTGCCTAGCACATCACAGCGCAACATATCATGCCATAACATATCATATCATATCCTTCCATAGCATGTCGTAGCATAGCGCAGCAGAGCATAGCATAACATAGCATATCATAGCGCAGCAGAACATATCTTGTCATAGTCTAGCATAGCCTTGGGATGTCTGCAGATCGCATCGTATCATATCATAGCACAGTACATAATAACCTAGCGGAGCAGAGCATCGTATCATAACATACCATAGCATAGCATTGAGATGTAGGTGTAGGTTTAGATGTGGATGTAGGTGTAGATGTAGATGTAGGTGTAGATGTATGTGTAAATGTAAGTGTAAGTGTGCGTCTCGCTGATGATGTTGATGTAGATGTAGATGCAGGTGTAGATGTACATGTAGCTGTCGGTGTAGATGTAGATGTTGTTGTCCTCAATGCTCCAACTCCTAGGTAGGGTCGCACTGGGATAATTCGCGCCAAAGGGAACCGCGGGCCGCGGGCCCTTGATTCGCGGGGCGCTCTCACGAGCAGTGCCATGCCACGGGCCAAGGGCAACCGGGGAAGGCGCGGGGCCAAGGGCAATCGGGGAAGGCACGGTGGGGGGACATTATCCGGAAGGCCCCTTATCAAAGTTGCGGCTCCGCATGGCAGGTTCCGACGTCGGTGGCGGCTCAGCGGGCGGCGGCGTCGATGGCGAGGGCGACCGCGAGTTCGAGGGGCTGAGCGATCAAGCCAGCCACGGCGGCGCGTCGGCCGCGGAGGAGGAGGGGCCGCCGCTGGCGAGCGTGGCCAACGACGGCGCGGGAGACGCCGCAAGGGCGCCGGCGGCGGCGGCTGCGGCCGAGGGGGGCGGCGCGGACGCAGACGCCCATTTCCTGATGCCAGGCGACCCGGAGGCCCCCTCCATGGATGAGGGGCACGGCGAGGACCAGAGATGGCGCTTGCGCGGGGTGGGGTCGGCGTGGGCAAGGGCAAGGGGGCTTCGAGCCAGGGTGGGGGGGCCTCGCCCAGCTTGAAAAAGCTTCCATGGACTCAGAGGGGGTGTGAAAGGGATGGGAACTGCGCGTCGTTGATCGGCTTCCCTCAGGACGGCGCCTCGGTGCAGATGCAGGAGCACGGCGACGCGTTCCTCACCGACAGGGAGATTATGAAGAGAACAACTTTGCGAGGAGAACCCATTGTCTTCTGTTCGGATGTGCGTGGCTCCATCCGGAAGACCCTGCCGAGCCAGGAGCCGGGCGTCCGCGGGAGAACAGTCGCCCTCCGGCAGCACCATTGAAGGCGGTCATGCAGGCGGGCCTCAGCCAGTATCACATTGGCACGTACGACGACGGCTCGAGCGCGGAGGACCAGCCGGGCGCCCCGCGGATCCACTTGAAGCTGCCGCCGACCGACCGCCGCGACCTCCACCTGCCATTCCACAACCGCCTGATGAAGCTGTGCGGCGTTTCCTTGCAGGCGCACACGAGTGCGATTGGGGCAAAGGAGACCAGGAAGAGGAGAGCTCCGCCTGCCTCCGCCAGCGCTCCGCGAGCCGCGCGGCAGCGGGGGGCCGCGGTGCCCGGCGGGCAGGCGGGGGCCCCGCGCGGCCCGGGCGCGACGGCGGCGGCGGGCGGAGTAGCAGGAGGAATTGCCGGCGGCGCGGGAGGGGCCGACGCGGCGGCGACGGCCAGCGGCGCAGCGCCGACGCCCGCCGGCGCGGCAGGCCGCGGCGCGGCACCGGCGCGGGCGCGCCCCAGCCGCGCCCCGGGAGAGTGGTAGAGTCTGAGTGGTGGGGCGTCGTCGAATGAGAGCATGGGTGAATCGAGCCGCCCACGCCTGCGCCAGGTGTCCGTCGGGATGCTAGGGTGCGGGGCGCTCCCTCCGGCAGTTTTGGCCCCCGACCGCTTAGATGCGGGCGCTCCTTGGCAGTTTTGGTACCCGATCTATACCCTGCGGTCTCAGCGCACCTGTACTGGGCAGCTCTGGCATACTGGCTTCGCGCAGGACGCAAGAGAGGATCAGGACCAGGAGTAAAAGGACAATCAAGGTAGCCAGTTCGAGCGCGTCAAGCATGGCATGCACATCCCCACCGTGATTCCCACCCGCCCTCCCACAACATAAGAAACAGTGAAGGCGCAATCGGTAACCGAAATCGTCAAGGTGGTGTGGCACAGCTGATGCAGCCGCCATGGTGGTTACCGATGGGGAAGTCCTCGCCCGTCTCAATGGCTGCGCTGGCACTTCAGCACGAACCGAGGATGCCCCAGGAGGCCCCAGGAAGCTTCAGGAGGCCCCAGGAGGCTTCAGGAGGCCTCCCTGAGGCGGTGGGACGCTCCAGGGGGCTCCAGGGGGCTTCAGGAGGCCGCAATTCGCATTGCCGACGACAAGACAGGCCATGTTGAAAGGAAAAGCGGAGACTTTGTATTAAGTTTTGACAGTCAGGATGGGAGGGCCCAGATTGACGTCCGCGCGCGATGCGCGCCGCGTCCCATTCCTGCCACGCAGTTCGCATCGTCGACGACAAGACAAGCCATGTTGGGAGGGAAAACGGGCATTTTGCACTGATGTCACACAGTCTGGATGGGAGAGCCCGGATGCAACCGCCATCGGCCAGACAGAGGGGAGAGTAGGAGTATATACGAATAAGGAGTAAGAATGAGGCGGATGTGGAACGATATTGCCATGCATCTTCCCGTCCCATGTCCCCATCTGTATACGTAAGTCCTCGCAGATTTCCTGTGTTCACAAGTGGACGCGCACATTTGAAAGACAGGCGCTCTGCGGGCGTGGCGTTCACGACCCTGACTCTGGATCCGCCCTACTTTGGGGAAATTCGTAAGTGGGGCTTGGAATTTCCGCCTTAGTTTTCAAGCCCGGCTGATGCCAATTTCCGCCCTACTTTTCTGTTGCTGTTTCTCTGGATGTCCGCCCTACTTTTTCTGCCTCTTCTAGGTGGATTTCCGACGCAATTTGAAGTTGGAAAAAAAAAACCAAAGTAGGGCGGATCCGGAGTCAGGGGATTCGTGGCAGACCCGGGGCAGGCACCCAGCACAACGCCCGGCGCACCGAAGGCACCCGGCGCCGAGCGAACCCGACGCGCGCGGCGCACCCTCCGCACCGAGCGCACCCGGCGCCGAGTGCACCCGGCGCACCCGGTACACCCGGCGGCCCGGCACCCGGCGCCGAGAGCATCCAGGACACCCGGCGCACCCGGCACCGAGCGCACCCGGCGCCGAGTGCACCCGGCGCATCCGGCACACCCGGCGGCCCAGCACCCGGCGCCGAGTGCACCCGGGACACCCGGCGCACCCGGCGCCGAGCGCACCCGGCACACCCGGCACACCCGGCGGCCGGGCACCCGGCGCCGAATGCACCCGGGACACCCGGCGCACCCGGCGCCGAGCGCACCCGGCACACCCGGCACGCCCGGCGCACCCGGGACCCCGCACAAGCAACTGTTATGGAGGCATCAGTGGCAATGGGCACCCGTCGTTGTGCCGATGCTGCGAGGCTCCCTCGGCGCCGACGCACTGGCCACGTCGTGCCGCTTGCTGTTCGCGTCAGGTCGCCCTGTGGAGCCTCATTCGCCGCCCCCCGTGCAGCTCGTGGTCCCGCAGGGGTCCAACGTTGGCAGTGGCCGAAGCTATTGGAATGCATGGTGTCTCCGCTGGGCCTGCCGGGCCGAGCGAGGCGACCAGCCGCGCGCTTGCTCGGGGCGCGTTCCGCCCGGCGCCCGCGCGCGGGACACAAGCGACCCAGGAGGAGTCTGACGCAGAGGATGTACCAGCTGAGTTAAGTACAGAAAACGGGGGGCCTGAGATGTAGCACACCTCGCCCCTAGGTTTTTTTTCACTTCTACCCTAGCCTGCCTGGCCCCACCCGAGGCCCAACCCAAAGTCCCAATCCTACTTACGTAAAGCCCCTGCCTAGGCTTACCCAGAAATTACTTGGGCCAACCTTCCGGCGCCCCCGAAGACCCATGCCCAAGGCCTGCCCTGGACTGACCCCAGGGACTCTGAGTGAACTAGCTTAGGCGACCCTGAGTTTGTCCATGACCACCCTGGAGCATGTAGTCCCTTCGACTACCATAAGTCTTTGGTGAAGCGACTGGCGAGCCTTCCCCCCCTCGGGCTCTGCACTTGCCGAGGAAGACCACGTCGCGTTTGAGCCAGGCCCCAGTGGATACTGCATGCGTCTCGTGGACGGCGCGATCACGAGGCTCCGCTTCAGGAACCGCGGCGGCGTGTTCGAGCCAGAGCTGCGCGCGACGAACCGCCACATCCCCGCAACGCAGGGCTTGGACGTGAAGAGCGCGGCCAACCGCGTGCTCGAACACTTCGAGGTGAGGCGCGCGGTGGTGCCTTTGTCAGAGGAGGCCCGGTTGACCTTCAAGGGCTCCTGGATGGTGTTCGGCGCGCAGTGCGCGCTCATGCGGGATCAGGGCAATGGGGCTCGCGCGGCCCTTGTTGGGATCCAGCCCTTGGATGCTCGGCGTGATCTCGGTGGCGCTGCTCATTCTGGAGCTCGCGGTTGGCGAGGCGCCGATGGGTGGAGAGGGCAAGGTGATGGAGTATCACGTCGCCCCGGCGCGGGACATCCTAGACGTCTCGGGGCCCGGGGAATCAGCGCCACGCAAACGGGGGCGTTGGCGGACCCGTCCAGGGGGGGGGGACTTAGAGATATCCCGGCCCGTGGTTCCAGCATGCAGTCGGCTGCGCGGGCCCCCGCCGGGTGTTTTTTCCATTAATTTTGTTGCGGGGCTCTCGAGGTCTCCACAGCGTTCGCGCCGCCCTTGAGGAAGGGCGCGAGAGCCAGGAGGTGGGGGAGGAGACAGAGAGGGCCGCGCGGGACGCCGCCAGCCGCAGGGCTGCCGGCGCAGTCCAGGTCGGCGCGGTCGGCGACGAGTGGGGCCAGTGGGCCTTGACCCAGGCTCAGCCGCGGCGCGCCCTCCCAGGGCGACCGTGGAATCAAGTCAATACTGTTCGCGCTTCAAGGGGGACCGCGGGCCGCGGGCTTCGATTCTCGGGGCTCGCGCGCGAGCAGCGCCATGCCGCGGGCCAGGGGCATCCGGGGAAGGCGCGGGGGGGGGGGCATTTTCCGGAAGGCCTCTTATCAAAGCTGCGGTTCCGCGCGGCAGGTTCCGACGTCGGCGGCGGCTCAGCGGGCGGCGGCGTCGACGGCGAGGGCGACCGCGAGTTCGAGGGGCTGGGCGATCAGACCAGCCACGGCGGCGCCGCGGCCGCGGAGGAGGAGGGGCCGCCGATGGCGAGCGCGGCCAACGATGGCGCGGGAAACGCCGCATGGGCGCCGCCAGCGGCGGCTGCGGCCGAGGGGGGCGGCGCGGACGCAGGCGCCAATTTCCTGATGCCAGGCGACCCGGAGGCCCCCTCCATGGATGAGGAGCACGGCGAAGACCAGAGATGGCGCTTGCGCTGCGCGGGGTCGGCGTGGGCAAGGTCGAGGGGGCTTCGAGCCAGGGTGGAGGGGCCTCGCCCAGCTGGAAAAAGCTTCCATGGACTCAGAGGGGGTGCGACAGGGGGTGGGACTGCGCGTCCTTGATCGGCTTCCCTCAGGACGGCGCCTCGGCGCCGACGCAGGAGCACGGCGACGTCTTCCTCACCGACAGGGAGATTATGAAGAAAATCATTTCGCGAGGAGAACCCATTGTCTTCTGTTCGGATGTGCGTGGCTCCATCGGGAAGACCCTGCCGAGCCAGGGGCCAGGCGTCCGCGGGGAAACAGTCGCCCTCCGGCAGCACCATTGAAGGCGGTCATGCAGGCGGGGCTCGGCCAGTATCACATTGGCACGTGCGACGACGGCTCGAGCGCGGAGGACCGACCGCCGCGACCTCCACCTGCCATTCCACAACCGCCTGATGAAGCTGTGCGGCGTTTCCCTGCAGGCGCACGCGAGTGCGATTGGGGCAAAGGAGACCGGGAAGAGGAGAGCTCCGCCTGCCTCCGCTAGCGCTCCGCGAGCCGCGCGGCAGCGGGGGGCTGCGGTTCCCGGCGGGCAGGCGGGGGCCCCGCGCGGCCCGGGCGCGACGGCGGCGGCGGGCGGAGTAGCAGGGGGAATGCTTGGCGGCGCGGAAAGGGCCGATGCGGCGGCGAAGGCCAGCGGCGCAGCGCCGACGCCCGCCGGCGCGGCGGGCCGCGGCGCGGCGCCGGCGCGGGCGCGCCCCAGCCGCGCCCCGGGAGAGTGGTAGAGTCTGAGTGGGGCGAAGTCGAATGAGAGCATGGGTGAATCGAGCCGCCCACGCCTGCGACAGGTGTCCGTCGGGGTGCCAGGATGCGGGGCGCTCTCTGGCAGTTCTGGTCCCCGACCGATTAGATGCGGGGCGCTCTCTGGCAGGTTTGGTGCCTGATCGAAACCCTGCGGCCTCAGTGTGCCTGTGCTGGGCAGCTCTGGCATGCTGGCTTCGCGCAGGACGCAAGAGAGGAGGATCAGGGCCGGGGGGAAAAGGACGATCGAGCTAGCCAGTTCGAGCGAGTCAAGCATGGCATGCACATTCCTACCGTGATTCCCACCCGCCCTACCACAACATAAGAAACAATGATGGCGCATTTGGTAACCGAAATTAATATTCGTCAAGGTGGTGTGCCACAGCTGATGCAGCCGCCATGGTGGTTACCGATGGGGGAGTCCTCGCTCGTCTCAAAGGCTGCGCTGGCACTTCAGCGCGAGCCGAGGGTGCCCCAGGAGGCCCCAGGAAGCCTCAGGAGGCCCCAGGAGGCTTCAGGAGGCCTCAGGAGGTGGTGGGAAGCTACAGGGGGCCCCA